GCCTGTAGTGTAGAATAGGTCACCTGGCCAGCATGGACTTCCCAGCAGGACTCAGTGGGTTCTGCTGTCTTCCTACCTGGGGCAGCAAGCCTAGAAAGAGCAGTTTCACAAAGGTCTTTAAGCTTTTGAGACTTAAAAACCCAGTACCAGACCCTGAACCACCATGAATGCAGCAAGTCACATTCCATCTGTGAGGCCTGTGGTGCACAATTGGCCACTTAGCAAATGAGTCTGCTCTCTGTTCCTTTGGGTATTCTGTCTTTACATCCTGTAACTACGTGGTCTTTATCAGTAGTGATGTCATACTGCTCAAATACAAGAATTGGACAACTTTTTCACCAAGGGCCAAATAGCAGATATCTTAGGGTTTGTGGGCTGTGTATCTTTGTCCCAGAAGCTCTACTGTACTGTTCCAGTGTGAAAAGAGCCAGAAACAATGAATGAGCATAGTTGTGTTCTACTTAAACTGTACCTTTGCAAAAAGTCAGTGGGGTAGTTTGGTCGTGAGTTGTAGTTTACCAGCCCCTGATAAAATAAAATCTCTAGAGTATTTGATTCACTGGAATCAATATCAGACTTTGACAATGTAACTTCATAGTACATTTTTATATGGTACATAATCTTCAGATTTAGTGAAAACTTGGCAGCCAGGAAATCAGCCACAGTCGTTTATATTTGTAGCCGACTCAAGGAAGCCTGTCGAGTACAATGGGAAGACAGCTGTAGATATGGCCTGACGGGAGTTGGTATGGAGAAGCTAGGAGCAGGACTTCTGTAGGTGGTCCTAAGCTGGAGGCAAAGCAAAAAATGGGGAAAGCTAGCTGGCAGTTATTATCAAGTTGTGGCCATCCTGTGTAGTTTGACTCTCTGACCTGTTTGCTGCAGAGTGTGTGAAATAGTGTTCTGTTCAAATAAGGTTTGGCCATTGTTCATTGTGTACTCAGCCTCTCACTTGGGATTTTCTGTGCAGTCATGTCTCAAATACAATTTTATTTTTTCCTTGCTAACTTGTGTGCTTTTCTCTTCATTTGCACCATTGGCTAGGTCTTAGAATGAATAGAGGTGGAGAGAGCGCACTTGCTTGCTTTGTTCCTAACTGAGGGAAAAAGCATTTAAGTCTTTATCCACTGTCTGAGGTTAACTGCAGCATCTGTTTTAGATCACCATATCAGATCAAAGAAAATCCCTTCTGTTCTTGTTTGCTGTTTTTCTTAAATCACGGACAGGTGGATAATGAATTATACTGGTAGATTTTTGTTTTGCTTTTTATTTTATTTATTTAAAATTTATTTAAAATTTATTTATTTATTTATTTAGTGTGTGTGTGTGTGTGTGGCCAGTTCAGCCCACCAGGGGGGCGGGGCTGGCTGGCATGTAGTGCTGGGGATTGAACCCCGGTCCCTGTGCTGTGCTTTTTGCTTAGCTTAGCTTGTTCTAAGTAGGTGCTTTAGACCACTGAGCCATCTCACCAGCCCTGTTTTGCTTTTTAAAAATGTATCTGTACATGATATAATGTGTTTTGTTTTTAGGGTTTTTTGTTTTGGTTTTTGTTTTTGAGAGAAAAGGTGTTTAGTATGTAGTGCAGGCTGGCTTTATATTCGCTTATGTCGCCCAGGCTGGCCTCAAACTCATGGTGGTCTTCCTGCCTCAATCTCCCGAGTGCTGAGATTACAGCTGTGCACCACCACACCTGGCTGACTGATTAGAGTTTTGTGTGGGGGGGGGTTGTGTGTGGAACCAGGGATTGAACTCAGACCCTTGCGCTTGCCAGGGAAGTGCTTATTCCACTGAGCCATCTCCCTGGCTCCTAATAAAGAGTTTTGATTGTGAAACCAGTGTTACATTCCCAGAAATGATCTATCATGATATATTATCATCATTGTACATTGCTGAATTTGATTTATAATGTTCCGTTTAGGATTTTAATTTGTTTTCATGATTGATATGGATATATACTGGTCTTTCTATTTGTTTTGGGTTTTTTTCTCACAATGCTTTTATCTGATTTTGATGAGGATAATACTAATCTTACAAAATGAATTGAGAAGTGTCCCCTTCTCTTCTGGTTTGTGGAATGAATTGCACAAAATTGATATTATTTCTCATGTATTTAGTAGAATTGGTCTGTGAAACCAAATCATCTGGGCCTGGAGTTTTCTTTAAAAATTTTATTATTATTATTATTATTATTATTATTTTGTATTTTAGGGAAGGGTCTACAGGGTGTTCAGGGTCTCATGACTAGATTGGACTCATAGTGATCCATGTGTTTACAGCCTGTCAAGAGCTGGGATTGGGCCGGGGAGATGGCTCAGTGGATTAAGTGCTTCCCTGGCAAGCGCAAGGGTCTGAGTTCAATCCCCGGTTCAAAAAAAAAAAAAAAAGAGCTGGGATTACAGGTGCCTACCACCATGCCCAGTCTCAGTTGCTGTGTCAGCGCACCCTGAGGATGGGGCCAGCACTGCAGGCCCAGAGATCAAATCCCCGGCCCCTTAATCTGCTGAGCTATTTGGCCAGCCCACTAATGTAAGCTTTTTATTACTATAAATTTTCCTCTAAATAGCACCTCAGGTTTGTATCATCACCAGTTATGAGAAATTGCTTCATTTGGTTTTAAATATTTTCTAATTTCTTTCTAACTTCTTTGGTGTGTGTGCGTGCTGGGAAATCAACTCAGAACTTTCACCCTGAGCAAATAACTCTACTCTTTGAGACAGTAGCTTGTTAAATTGCCTCAGGTGGACTCAGTCTTGTGTTCCTCCTGCCTCAGCCTCCCGGAGTGCTAATGACCAGCTAGCAATCAGTGGTTTTTTAAAAAATATTTAAGCTTTTAAAACTGATCCATTAAAACATAACTCATGATATTTAAGCACATTTATGCATTGTATGTTTAAATCAGAGTAAATATACTTCCTTAAGCATGATTTTTTTTTACAAGTATGTTGTTTAATCTCAAAATAGTTGAAATAATTAGACATTTTCCAGGTAACTTCCTGTTACTGATTTGCAGTTAATTTTTTTATTATGGTTAGAAGATAGGCTTTATGTGGTATCAGTTATTTTAAAATTTGCTGAAGTTAGGGGTAAGGTAGAGCTCAGAGGTAGAATACATGCTTAGCATGTGCAAGACACTGGATTCAATCCCTAGTACCCTTCACACACAAGTTTTTTGTTAAATTTTGTTTATAATATATTTATGTGTTGTTTGCCAGATGGTCTGTCTTGGAGAGTGTTCCATGTGTCTTTTAGAAGGATATGTGTGCTGCTGTTGTTGAATGGAGTGTTCTTTTTTTTTTTAAATTG